GGCCCGCGCCGCCAGCAAGGCCCGCGCGCTGCGCCCGAGCGGCGAGGCGGCGCTCCGTGGAACGCGCGCCCAGGGATTCCTCGTAGGAAGAAAAGCTCCAGAGCTYCAGCCTTAGACATAATGACTGAGTGAACTAGTACAATAATCCAGTAATAGTGCTAATTTATATATATATATTTTTTTACATTATATCCAAAGTGTGTCAACTAAGGGTGGACTTTCAGTCATTAGTGCCTTGATCCATCCTGGTCAAACCTGAAGCTGCGCCGCCTGAGATGAGGCTGCTGAGGTCCCTGTCATAAAGTCATGAGATTTCGAGTGGTATTGAAGATCTTGTTCTGTTTCATGCTCTATAGATGAATGAATAAAAGTAATTTACAGGTAAAAGTGTGAATAAAAGTAAAAAGATTAATAAAAGTGATTTGTTTATATAATTAGTAATTGTATAAGGTTTTCTTGTAGCAAGGCGTTTGGTAAGAACAGTTACATCTATCCAAGGATGTGCTCAGAAATGCAAGCTACTTCAATCAAACCGGAGAAGTGGATGTTACAAGTAAATTTGGWAGAGTTTAAGACATCTTACATGATTTAATCAGTAGGGCACACCAGAGAAGCTACGACTCTGTGTATAAAGGGCTGCTGAGGTTCGAGCTCCTGCCTCAAGGTTGAGGAGACGTGGAGCCGGTGCCAGGCACCCGGGGCCAGCTGGAGCCTTTCCTTCCTGCCTGGTTTGGGCTGTACTGAAACCCTTTACAGGGTCCTTGTTGGGTCCAAGCGGCTTCTACCCATGCCCACCCTTTCCAGTGCTCTGCCATCTACATGCTCGAATTTTCCAAAATCTGTCACAACAATCTCTCCTTGGGCTTTCCCAGAGACATGAGCCTGCATCTGCTGATGTCTGGAGTTCCTTGGCTCGAGTGTTTCAGTAATACCAGATAAAATTTCACAGAACTCAGAGGAAAAATGTACTCTCACCTATTAAATACAGATTTTGCATACAGACCTGTAACAAAAACACGTTATTGCCACAACTATACATACAGATCTCTACCTGTTTTCACTATTTTGCATGTGTGCTTGCTGTAATTTCACCCACTAACATGTTGCTCATGAAAAGTTTCACTGAAAATGTTGCTAAACCGTGAAAAGTTAAGAAAAAGACCAAACCTAGAAAAATCCAAATATATATATATGGTATTAACTAAAAATGAGAACTAATAATCAAGTTTTTTCAAAGGGCAGTCAATAATTAAGAATTGCAAGTAATGGACAAAGCAAAGAATTAATGGCAACGTAGTTCAATGGAAAATATTTCTACATCTCAAACCATCATCCTGACCTATGAGATCAGGAATTACTTGTTTCTGATTTACTCCTCCTCCTGCACCCCCCCCCCCCAAAAAAAAAAAAAAGCAACCTTTAATAAAGCTCTAAATTAAAACAGGATGATTCTGTGGTTGGAAGACATGTGGAGAAAATATATCCCATGCTAAGAGCTTTAGAGTGGTATATGGAATACTTCCAGACATCATCAAAAGGAAGCTTAAGTCAAGAAGCGGATTTATGGCACACTCTGGTAACTGCTATGCAATGTAAATTTATCTTTCAAAGAAAACGTTTCTCGGGTTAATCAGTCCAAATCCCTCTGGATTAGTGCCATTGCCTGCAGGACCCCTGCTCTTTTGCAGCGGGGCTGACAGGTAAGTGATGGCYGTGTCTTTGCACCATATTTTTACCTATGACTGTATCTATGTCATTTACCTATGACTTTGTGTCGGGGTCTTTTCTGCAACCTTTAAGTAGTGTTTTTTACCACACTTTAGTTTYGGTTTGTTTTTCCCTTTTTACATTTGGAGAAACTGAGGTGTTAGCACTTAAAAAGCTCAKTTTTTAGGGTCTTTCTGCCTGGCTGGGACCATGTGCACCTTGTACACTCGGATTTTCTTTTAGGAGAGTTTTAATTCAGAGACACATCTGAAGAACTGCACAACTTGTCCTTAAAAACCAGGCTGGGGGAGATGGGGGAGCACTTTGTGCAGCAGTGCCACAATGTACATTCGCAGACAGCACAATGCAGGCTTCAGTTTAAGCTCAAGTTTATGAGTTTCTTTTTCCCCATTTCCTTAGTTTGTCTATATATGTAGTGATATTTTCCTTTCTTTTTTTTTTTTTTTTTTTTTTTTGCCAGTGCAGAACTGTTGCCTCACTTATATTTGCTCATGTTTCCTTTTGTCTACTTTTAAATGTCTGAAATGATAGGGCTTTCTTTTTTTTTTTTTTTTTTTTTAATTGTAGTTTTGAGGGCTATATAGGAATGCAAAAACATTTTTTTTTCAGATCATGCTAGGAATTTCACTGGCAGCCTGGGCCTTCAAAAGCAGGATGTGCTTTTTGCCGATACTCAGCATCCCGAAGGACCAAAGGGGCAAGTAAAGGACAAGGGCAGCCAGGGATGCAGCTACTGCCTATTTTAAATGTAGAAAAGTAGTTGTGCAAGCTCCTGTCATCTCTGTGCTACATGCAGTTTGAACCTACAGAGGAATTTATAATTACTTTTCATAATTTGTGATAACTGGATATATATAGGTATGTATATGTATGTATGTATATCACTATAAAAAAGGGTACTGTTCCAAGGGAACCTCAAGATTAAAAAACTATTTACCGTGTAACCTGGGACTATATAAGGGGTTTACAAAAATATGAAGAAGGGGAGTGTTAAGGATTTTTCAAACACTATTTATAATATTCCTCTTAGATTTTTTTTCTAATCTTTAACTTGGCGTTTAGAAACGTCACATTAGAACTTCTACTGAGGTTTATATGATATGTGTTCAGTTCAGCCACCGCAAAAGCCTCGGATGGAGGCTGAGAGCAACGGCCCGCCCACACAASCGACCCTCCCTCCGCGCGGCCGTTAACGTGCGCGCCATCCCCACTGCGCCTGCGCAGCGCGGGGCGGGSCCCCCCCACCGCCCGCGGCCCCGCCCCCTCGCGCCGCCGCCACTTCCGGTGTCCGCGGACCGGGCAGGTGGAAGGAGCGGGTGGGGTGGCCGTTGGTGACCGTTGGTGACCGTTGGTGGCGCGCGGGGACCGTTGGGCTCCCCCCGTCCTGGGAGCGGCGGGTGAGGGGGGCCGGCTGCGCCGCAGGAGGGGCTCGGCCGTGGCTGCCGGGACTGCAGCGGTTCAGGGCGCCGCRGGGCCCAGCGGCCGGGCGAGCAGCGGCCGCCGTGCGTGGGGAGCCGGGAGGGGTTTCCTGGCAGCCGCTGCCCTCGCGTGGGGCTCCCCTCCCGTCCGGGCCTGCCGCAGCCTTTGGAGCGCTCTGTTAGTGCAAGCGGTGCCTCGCAGCGGGGCCCTGCGGCTCTGGCTCCTCCCGAGAAAGGCAAAACCGCCTTGGTGGCTCCCTGCTTTGCCTCTTGCTCGCGTCCTGAGGCAGCAGCCTTCAAGGGAAGAGCAGTTACTTTGAGAATAGTGCTGCAAGGGTTCGGAGCTCCTTAGGAGATGGTACAAAAGCACCTCTGAGAGACGACATAGGAGGTATTGAGTAAAGTAGCACTAAGTCAGGACAAGAGAAGGGTACCGAAGTGTATGAGTATGTGGGAGCTATGAAATCGGCACTTCCGAATGAGAAGTTTATGTAGGATGTCCCACAGAGTGGTGTAAAGCATGACAAAACACAGTTCAGGTAGTTAAAGCAAGATTGATGATGATGTGAAAGAAGTGTTTCGTAAATACTGCCTTCTAAGCTGTATCTTAACCTGGAACCCTATAACAAAATGGATTTTATTACAGCGCTACAGTTTTCTCATGTTGTGTACTCAGTTAAACAGGATTATGCAGATCTGCTTTGCTGGCTTAGAGAGCTGGTTACATCAATAGAGCTAGAAATAGTCAATGCGAAGTGTAGYGTAATGTAAAGTGAGAATTTCAGTATTTTAAGTTAAAGAAGATCTGCAAAATGGAGGAATGATTTGTAAGCTGTGGCAAAATTAATGCACCTATGTATTTAAAATGAGACAGTGGCAGTGGGGGAAGGTGACACCCTTAAGGAAACTGGAAAACTGGGACAGTCACTAAATATTTCARCTTTYACAGTGTTAAAAGATGTCTGTCTTGAGGCATCATATTTTAGCATCTTTATTGATATTACCACAGGAAATAGCRTTTTTCAGGTTTGAGGGTGTATTTCAACATATCCTTTTTGTTTTCAGGGAAGAAATGATTCAGCGTTTGAGCCTGAGATTTGAAAGCCTGGTCCAGTTGCACTGTGCTTGCAGACAGCTGCGTGCTCTGTCCTACAGAAGAGTTTGCAGAGCACAATGGAAGCCTGTGCCGTCCGTGTGTCCCGTACGGCCTGTTCGTCTGTACTCACAGCTCTGGCAAAGAAACACGTTAATCAGTGTTGCCTTTCCACACTACAGGCATCTAGCTACAAAGGAGGTGATTAATGGAATCCAGTAATCTCTGTTTCTGTGTGAAATTTCAAAGCACAAGGAATCATTTTGAACACTTTTATTACAAAAATGGGAGCTTTGTATGTAGTAAGCTTCTCGTGAACAGGACTCATTTATGAGTTCTGACTTTGTAAGACAAAATGTTCTTAGATATCTAGGAGTGAATCGTGACTTCCTCTCAGTTGTTTGTGTGAAGTATCTATACCCTTGACATCAGGATTCCTTCAGGGGCAGGAGAAAATGATTGTAATCCAAAAGGAAATTTGGGATGAATTTTCTTTGCTGTGAAAAGAAGTGAACAGTACCTCACACTTTAAATATTCAGTATGATGTTTAAGTCATTTGTAGTATAGATGAATTGTAATTCATTTGTAGTATAGATGAAAAGTTGTGCTTATAACATAGTGTTTCAGGTCATTGTCTTTTTAATGTTTTTATTATTTCTTCATTTATGCCAGCTATGTGTTCCTATATACATGTCTAATTCCATGTAGGAGAAGAAAAAGACCCGAAAGAAAATGCCAGTGACAAAAGGTGAAGTGGAGATAAAGCAGAAAATGACAGTTGAGGAACTTGCAAGAGCTATGGGCAAAGATGTAGGTGAGAGCCTGCTGTGTTGCATGAGATGCTCCGTAGCTGTTACTGTTCTGCTAGCTGTGAGTGCTAAAGGCAAAGATGTTCTTAGACAGTATTAGTAAGTGATGACTAGTCCCTTTCTTAGCAAGGTAGTTTGTACGTATACTGAAAGGCCTGTCGTTTCTTGCCATGTATTTCTGAGATAGGACTGTAATGATGCTCAAGTCAGGCTGTGGGTTGGATGAGTTGCAGTTTTTTCCTTTTGGGGATGAATGGAAAATAAGCTGTGAAAAGCTGTGTGGAAAAACAGTATTTTAGCATTTAATGAGGTAATTTTTTCAGTAAACCTTTCTGAATCATATCATTGTGAGTATGTAGTATAACAAGAGCTAACAGGTAAAGAAATGTATTCACAAGGTATAAATTACCTTTTAATATTGCTCAGATTTTCTTTTTTAGTATTTCTCTTGCACATTTTTTGATAGATTTGTTAATTCTCTTTATCTTTTCTTTAGATCATATTTTTGAAGCTCTGCTGTACACAGATGTTGACTTTGATTCACTAGAACCAGATTCCATCTTATATGAAGACCATATCAAGTTAGTTGTTAAAAAATCAGGAATGAAGTATAAGTCAGCAAAACTGAAAGAAGAAAAAGAAAAAGAAAATACAGATGCTGTGAAAAGGTAAAATATGAACTGCTCTTTTGGGCTTTTTTAACTATTTTTTTTTCTCTGACACTTTTTGACTCTTTCATGTATTGTGGTTTGTTTCTTGAATAATATGTAAATGATACCTGTCATGATTGTGCCCTGATAATACTTCAGAGGCAAAGTTTACCATTTTGATGTCCTTGACTGTAAAACTGATTCTCTGATTCGATTTGTTTAGGTGACTTTTTTTTTTTTTTTAAGGAAAGCTGATATTTCCTTAATTTCCTGAATTGCTGTAAGTTGCTGTACTGTGATGCAGAACTAAGTCTGAGTAGTAAGAGGGCAAACTGGGGATGTAGCTAGGATCTGTGATTATGTTTTGTGTGAGGGGAGGCAGGGCTGACCTGTACACAGGGTCTGGTAAATGGCTCTTCATGGGAATGAATGTGACTCAGTGAATGAGTTTGGTATTTACAAAGCTCGTTTTTGTGCTAATTGCAGACCTCCTGCAGACCCAGCTGTACTAACCCCGCGGCCTGCGGTTGTCACTATCCTGGGCCATGTTGATCATGGGAAAACAACTTTACTCGACAACCTACGGAAAACTCAGGTGGCATCAATGGAAGCAGGCGGCATCACACAACACATCGGTGCTTTTCTGGGTATGGTAGTTGTGTGTGTTTGGGGGTAGTGTGTTGACGTACACAGTAAAATACATAAGCATTGGGGAAAAAAAAAAAACATGCTGAATGGATGGACTGTGAAGGGTACGGTCCATACGATAGAAATAATATTTATATCGGCTCATGAAAGATCCTAGCATGCTATATACCTTTTTTTTTTTCCCCCTCTTTTTCAAACATCCTCCATCTCTGTGCCATCTCTCCTCCTAAACTCTACTTAAAATAAAAAGAAATCTTAGAGTTGTGGTGTTTGACTTGGGTTGTGTGAGAGCAAGCTATGTGATACACTGCTTTTCAAATGTACGGTGTTTGTGCTTGTTTGCAGTGCATTTGCCTTCTGGGGAAAGGATAACGTTTCTTGATACTCCTGGGCACGCAGCCTTTTCAGCTCTGCGAGCGAGGGGCACCAACGTCACCGATATCGTCATACTGGTCGTAGCAGCAGAAGATGGAGTCATGGAGCAAACCGTGGAGTCCATCCAGCATGCTAAGAACGCGGGAGGTACGGTGTTGCTCTTGGTAGTGCTTCGGTTTTAAGCGGGTGGCAAGCTCAGCACACCAAGCTAATGCACAAGGTGTGTGTTAGTGTGTGAGGCACGTGATGAATGTGTTGCAAACAGATGTCTCTTCATCCCTTGGAAGAACAGTTCATATTTTGTACTTTCGTTTGTATTTTTGTTTGTTCCTTCTTCGCAGTTCGTATGTGCAGTTGTCAGGAGTGTTGTGTTGCCCTTTCCTGACTTAATGAAATCCGTAGTGGTGGAACAGCTTTCCATTTCAAATGAGAAAACATCTCTAAGGACCTTTAACATATTGTAGCGAGCTCCTTTTCTTGGAATTTGCTACAGTTTGCCAGTTTGCTGTATTCTTTTTTTTTTTTTTTGGGTGTGCCCAGTCAGCTTGATTACTTTGTGATCTAAGGTTTGATTACTAGAACTTTAAAAAGGTGGGGGGGCACCTGAAGTAATTTTGATAGAAGTATGAAATGATTGTTTTAATTTCCAGTTACACTGAGAGCGATGTGGGAAGTTAGAGCTGCTCTGGTCTCTCTCACTGCTGTTGATCCTCTGTGCATTCAGTTTTCTTGCTGTGTGTAAGTGATGCAGGTACTGAGAACTGCTGCTACTGCCAACTCAGTTGTGTGGGTCACCAGAGAGTGCTGTGGAGTTTTTGTTATGTTGGTAACGTGTTTGTATGTTTTCTTTGTAGTTCCTCTTATCCTTGCTATTAACAAATGTGACAAACCTGAAGCTGATCCTGAAAGAGTAAAGAAGGAATTGCTGGCTCACGATGTCGTTTGTGAAGAGTTTGGAGGCGATGTTCAAGCTGTAAATATTTCTGCACTCAAGGTAAAGGTTTCGTGGAAGAAATAATCATTGTGCTCCCAGGTACCAAGTGCGTGCACACAGCCACGCTTTAACTTGGCAGTTGGCAAGTGGATGCTAAGCTTCCCAGTATCCTACTGGATGCCTGGCATTAGGGAAAGTGCTGCTGGCCATCACCAGAATACCTATTGGTGTCATGTTCTGAGACTCAGACCTTTAGTGAGCAATAATATCTCATTTCCCTTATGGAAATTTAAGTGAACATTTTTTGATTTCATCCCAGTATTGTTTCTTCAGATATTTATTTTCTGTGTAAAGTTAGTCCAAAATCAAGCTTAGTGACAATACTATACGTGAAGATAAATGTTGAAATGAAATTGTGTCATCCTAACACACTTGAAGACACAGTTTACTTGTAGACTTACAGAAAATTGATAGCTAAAAACTAAAGTGAAATCTGAACTGTAATAYATGCCTTCAGTTTTATAATGTAGTGCTAAAGGAGCCCTTTTGAAAGTGATGCAGAAGCATTTTAGGCTTATTGCTGTCTTCCTTGAAGCTCCCCTAGCATATGAATTAAATTGGGAGAGTTGGCACTAACTTTTAATCATATTTTACCAAGGCACTTTATTTATTTATTTATTTATTTATTTATTCATTCTTTGTACAGGGTGAAAATCTGATGGTATTAGCAGAGGCAACAGTTGCTTTAGCAGAAATGTTAGAACTGAAAGCGGATCCCACAGGTCTGGTAGAGGGGACTGTGATTGAATGTCGGAAAGACAAAGGAAAAGGGTAGGAAATGTGTCTTTCTTACAACTTAAATGGAGCAATTTGTAAGAATGCAGAGAGAATGTTGAGCTGGTTAATACTTCAATAYGCAGATTGAAGGTTATCCTTTGAAAATGTTCAACAAAACTTCAACAGTTTATCTGCAGTGTTTGCAACTAAAATGTTGAAGTGTTTTCGCAGCGTGAGACAGAAAAGGAGGTAGGGAAGTTACAGTCTACTTACCAAAAACTATATGACATTTTACTTTTTTAAATACTTTAAGCTTCTTTTGCAGGTTCTCTGAAAACAAGATTATTTCTACCCTCTTCTTAAAGATAAACTGAATACTGGAAAACATTTAAGAAATATGTAATGTACACACACATCTACACACCCCTCTTTTTTAACCTGTAGAAGTGTGAGCCCGAGTGAGGTGCTTTCTGGCCCAAGATAAAAAGACTGTGATTTCACTTAGCTTATGAAATCAGCCTATATTTGTAAGGTGAATATGCCAAAATCTTTATTATAACTTACAAAAATTAAAAGTATAATATGCTCCTGGGGTGTCTTGCACATCACTTCCAACATTCTCAGGATTCATTTAGCAGGATGGTAGATTGGGCCATGAGAGTATTCTTCCTCTAATCCCAAGTTTGTCTTTGCTAATCTCTGTAACTGTCAAAAAGGATGTTATTTTTATACATTATTTTTTCCCTTCTCTCCTCCCGTTCTTCGCTAGTCCAGTTACCACAGCCATCATCCAACGAGGAACTCTGAGGAAAGGCTGCGTTCTGGTTGCAGGGAGGACCTGGGCCAAAGTGCGTCTCATGTTCGATGAGAACGGCAGAGCCGTAGATGCAGCCTCTCCAGGTAYCCCGGTGGAAATCATGGGATGGAAGGAAGTCCCTTCAGCTGGAGATGAAATCCTTGAAGTGGAGTCTGAGGTACAGCAAGAACTCTTTAAGGAAGTAGCTCTTCTGCGAGTGCCGTGGTAAAGTGGATAGGCAGGAGCTGAGTAGAAATAAGTGATAGCTTTTGTTCCGAAAAAGAACCCTAAGATAATCTGACAAAAGATGAAGGCCAGGCCTGGGTGTTGATTGTAGCCTGAGCTACATGTAGTAGACTGTCAACAGGTTTATTTTTCACATGACCTCCCTATGACTTTACCTGGGAAATAATCGGTTACTTAATGGCGTTTTTATTTCTGGAATAAGAGATAATGAGATTCTGACAAAAGAATGCGCGTAACGTTTACCTTGAAATAGGTGTTTAGAGAACTGGACAGATACCGTTTGAAAGAACAAATAATATCAGAGTTATCTTTAAAATAAGACTTGAATTATGCTGCTGTTGCACAAGGAAGAAACTTGTGCTAATTTTCAGCATCCTTGTGGCAAAATCTATGGTTAAATGTGAAAGAAAATTAATAAGCCTGTAGAGAAAATATGAAAGATTGAAACTTGATTATTGTGGAGTTTTCCAGTGCTGTTTTTAAAGATAACCTTGCTGCCTCTYTCAGCAAAGGGCCCACGAGGTTGTTGCCTGGAGAAATTATGTTGAACAGCAGGAGAAGATGAAAAAGGATTCGGAAGTTATTGAAGCAAAGCAAAAGGAGCACAGGACCGAGTATGAGAAGCAGCAGCAGAAGCTGGGCCATCTCACCTGGAGGCAGAGAAAGGCAGTGCTGTACAAGGCTAACAAACATCTCATGTTTGTTAAGCCAAAAGAGAGAGTAGAGATTGACAAGAACGTGCTGTCGGTAATTGTTAAAGGTACTGTCTGTTCTGCTCCGCCGTTTTCGTGATTCTCTGCTCTAARGTGTAACTCTAAATCATTAACAAAGTTTCTGTTACCAGAAGAGCGATTAAAACCCCACTTGAACAAAATAATGTAATAATAATATTAAATGGACTATTAGATCTTTCTCCGTAGGGAGAGGGACATCAGAAAATATCCAGCAGTCAGAAGGAATATGCTTCCAGCAGGGCCAGCGCAAACGGAAAATTTCTGAGCCTAACCCCATTATCCAGCAACTTTTACCTAAAAGCCACACGAAGGCCAGTATGATAGGCACAATAAAATGTTGGGAGGGCAAAGYGGGTAGGCCGACCTGAAGCATGGGGGCATTGGGTTTGGCCACAGTTTGGCAAAATAGAGACCTGGTATGAACATGTGCAACATGTGTGAACATAGGAGATTGGGAAGTCGGAGAAGAAGAGCAGGAGTTTTGAGTAGCAGATAGTGTGTAGTTCACATTTCAAACAGTATTTGAAATTTTAAGTGTTTTTTTTCCTGGCTTGATTTAGTTGCAATTGCAACTAAACCTTATCAAGCTTGATTTAAAATCYTAAAACAACTGATGGTTTCCACATTCTACTGCCAGCCCAGGTTTCCCTGTTTCAGCACAGGTCCCAAGGCCACGTTTTCTTGAACAGCAGAACATGGCTCGTACCTGCACTGCCCTGTGCCAGTCCCTGAGGCTGAGTGTAGGTAAACAGGGGCCAGCTTTGCTTTTTCTTTCATGGCTACAGGCTGGAACTTTGCAGAGTGCAATATAAGGCAAATTAGTTGAATCTCTTCTTYGGTTTAGAGCATGGTTGTCTTAGTTTTGCCTCACAGTCTGCATTGTACACGTRGTGAATAATAGTAGTTGGAACCTATGCAAACTTGACCTGAACACAGCAGATATTGAGCAGGTGCTCCTCTTGTATTTTTTCACTTTTGCTTTTTAAAATGAACTCCTTAGAATATATTAAGGGGTCTATGTGTGTATATTAGTATATGTAAAAATGTTTGTATATATTTATATTAACTGTTGAAAATATTGTGAGGATGCTAGATATAAGAAGATTATTATTATACTACATTGCCTGGCATTTTCTGTCTTTATTCTCCTTCAGTATTAGTTTGAATTATACAAAGCAATACTGTTTATACATACAGGTGATGTGGATGGATCCGTTGAAGCTATTCTAAACATTCTGGACAGCTACGATGCTCATCATGAGTGTAAACTGGAGGTCATCCATTTTGGAATGGGAGATATCAGCGAAACTGATATAAGTCTTGCTGAAACTTTCAATGGTGAGTGCATGTTTAAATACCAATTTACGGTTGGTGCAAAATCCTTTTCTAGTGGAAGGGTAGTTAATTGTTCTGTTTTTGCTTACTTTGTAATAATTAGCATTATCTTTAATGTAAACTTCCACAAAACTTAAAAAATGTTGTCTTTAACATTGAGGACCAGTGCAGGTAGGGAAGGCTGGACAGCTAACGGATAGGAAAGCATTTGACTTTTATACAAGTAGAGAGTGCTGGAAAACTCATTGTGCTCTAGCAGAGCAGAGAAGCTAGGAAAGTGGTGAACCAGAACAAAAGAATTTCCTTTTGCTCAGGACAGTCGTTGGAAAGGTTGTATTGGTTTAGTACCCTTTCCTACCCCCTACTCAGCGTGTGCGAGGCTGTAGGCTTGTGGATTCCTTGGTGTCGGACCCAACCTCATCAACAGGTGGTGAGGATGATGTAGCTCACTTCAGCCTTGGGTTAGAGAATCAAACTGCGCTTTCAGGCCAAGGATGATAAAGGACCTTTTACTTATCATACATAGTGCCAGAGGCTCTGATGAGCTGTGCCTAAGAATTCATTTTCAGTATCTTCAGTTCTGTCACGACAGAACTTTTTATGAAAGCTTTTCTTTTGAGCCTAACTCCTTTGATTCAAGGCAAGAAGCAGTGGATGTGGTGAATGCAGTGAGCAAGAAGGACAAATGCTCCCCTTTTGAGAACATGTGTAAAATGGTTTTTCTTGTATTGGCGACTGCTGATTTAAGGCAGTGCTGCAGGTTTAACATTACAGAATAGTTGCAGCAGAATTTCACATACTCTTTGGAAAGGAATGATCTCTGTAGCCATCAGCTGCTGACTGCTTTGTTTTTCAGGTGTTGTATATGGATTCAGTGTGAAAGCCAATGAAACTATTAAAAAGCTGGCTGCTAAGAAGGGAATAAAAATTAAAATTCACAATATCATCTACCAGCTTATTGATGATGTAAAACAAGAGCTAAATAGCAGATTACCCCCATCTGTGGTGGAAAATACAATAGGTGAGTTTTCCGTGAGTGGTTTTTCCTTCTCATAGTATGGCCTTAAATTTATTCTTCAATGAAGATATTCCTACTATATTGAATATTTTGTATTCTTCTCTATCTGCTTTTTTATTTTCTTAAAGAACTTAAGTGGAGGAGTATAGCTTGGTTCTAATTAATAACAACRTGTACTTCATATACCCTTTTTTCTTTCTTTTTTTTTTTTTTCCCTTTTAGGGGAAGCTTCTGTACTCGACACCTTCTCTGTAACAGTAGGAAAAAGTAAAGTTCCAGTAGCTGGGTGCAGAGTACATAAGGGGCTGCTAGACAAAAAGATGAAATTTAAGTTAATCCGTAAGGGAGATGTTATTTGGAAAGGTAAGTACAGCTCTTACAAACCACCTATAGGCTGGTGTGTCAGTGGGGTGCATTTTTTTACTTTGACATATTTCTCTTTGTAGGTTCCTTATCATCACTGAAGCACCATAAAGCTGATGTCCAGGTAATAAAAAGTGGTATGGACTGTGGCCTAAGTTTGGACAAGGATATAGAATTCAAGGCTGGAGATGAAATTATCTGCTATGAAGAAAAAGAAGTTGAACAAACAACTTCCTGGGATCCAGGATTTTAAAATACATTTGGATACACTAAAGGACATGCATTGTTCCTGACTGGACCAATGGCCTATGAACTCTTCACATGAAGTGAATTTATAAAGCAGCTCCTCTGAAGCTATAGACCAGATATATAAATATCATTGTTGTAGTTCTAAATCTTGTCAAGCAATTGGCACTTGGGAGTATAGGATAAAGCAGAAGTATTAATTGTAAGTACTTCAAATGCACAGAACAGTCAAGTTACAAGTATCTTTTTGGTGAATATTTAAATGCAGGGGTAGCACTAGAGCTGAGTGGTATCCCTGTAATGTTGCTTTACCTTCAGTAAAGAAAGAAGGAAATGTCTCTTTGTGCATTCTCTTGCCTTTTGCTGGCCGGTCACCTACTACCCTTTCCTTTAGCTTGTAATCAGGTGTGGTCTTTAAGTCCAGCCCTAATTTCTTTAGCTCCTTTATCTCCTTATTTCTTAATTAAAACTATAGTTCTAATCTACTCCCCTCATGCAGCAGGCCCCTTTTAATGGTGCTGACAGGGTTGTTTGCTGTGCCATCGTTACCCCGTTACCTCCTTAGAAAGGAGCAAGTTTGCACAGGCAACCACCGTTTTTTTTTGTTGTTGATACTGTGAAAAGGACCTGGTCAGGCTTCAGCTTACACTACTACTAGAGAAACTTTTATGTTTGAATAGAAAGGGAGAAAACATTTTTGAAARTAAGCTTAGGGAAATGGATCCTACTATGTGTTTGCTGCTTCCTCTTAGGTTAAGTCTCACCTCAAATGGACAAATCTCATTTGACAAAATAGTATCTTAATAAACAGCCTAGAATAAGAGGACTAGAACTAGGCCCTCACTGTTCAATCATCTAGCAAACTCAAAAGGAAAATTTTTCAGCAGAAATGTCTGTTGAGTACTCTACCATTTTAATGTACTGCTGCGTGTCTTGTACATGTCTACTTGCTGCATGCAAGTCTCTTACCTAAAGCAGCTCTTTATAAAACTCAAGTTCTTGCTTCAGTTTTAGAGTCAAGAACAGAAAACCCTAGTTAGTGATCAACATTCAACACTATGTAGATTCCTCTCGTTTATCGAAGAAGAGGAAAGACGGTGGAAGGAGAAACAAGTCCTTAAACCATAAAGAATTTCAGATTTTTATTGCCAGGTATTTCACTTGTCCTCTGGTTTGTTGAAACAGTACGTGAGGCAGCACTTGCCGCAGTAGTGCCTGTCGAAGTGGCTGGCCATGAAGACACCGGCTCCGCACTCCTCGGAGGGGCACTCGCGGCGCAGGCGACTGATCTTGCCGTTCTCGTCCACCTGCCAAGGGCACACAGGGAAGGTTTCGTGTACGCTCGTCACTTACAGCACCCATGAGTTCTCAGTATTTTCTCTGGCAAAGTGGTTTTTTTGGGACACTTATTACATTGCCGGATTCCCAAAGTTTGGAAGCACAAATAGAAAGAATTGTGCCAGACTACATGAAGTCAAGTTACAAGCCCAGACCACCACCCTCAAATTTTGTAATCATTTTGTCCCTTGAGAAGATCTTTTAAATCTCCTGGCTTTACTGAGATCTACTAAGCTTTAAACAAAATTCCCCTAGGAACAGTTCTTCTTACCTTGTAATACTTGAGCACAGCAAGCTTCACCTTCTTTCTCTTATGCTTGTTCTTCTTCGGGGTCGTGTAAGACTTCTTCTTCCTCTTCTTAGCACCCCCACGCAGCCTCAGCACAAGGTGAAGGGTGGATTCCTATTGGTAAAACACAGTGTAGAGATTCAGAATTGCTTCTCAAGCCCAGACTAGCATTCCTGCAAGCTGCTGCTTCTACTTACATGAAGTATTTAAGTAACAGATTTTAAAGCTTCTCTAGTTGGCTGGAACTTGAAAATTGCTACCAAGTTTGCAAACGAAACGAAATGCTGTGTGCTGCAGTACTCCAAGCTCCGTTAACAGTTCGAATATGGTGAAGTCTATTGCCACTGTATTCTTTGACTCTTAATACACGTAGGACACAGCTTCATAATGCAACTCAGTCAACCTGTCAGGTACCTATTGCCAAAAAAATACCATTTCCTCCTTCCTTTTTCACCAGCAGTGCTGCTCCCAGGGCTTCCCCTTGCACTCAGTAGCTGTCACACTGTCTCCCTAAACCAACTCACCGGAGCGGGCAGTGCCAGGAGCTGACAGAAGGGAAGCAAGGGAACAGGAAGCTAATATTAAAGACAGTAACTCGTGTCCTGAGACTGCATCCTCAACTGCAGCAACTCACAGATCCAGTCTTAGCATCCCAAGCAGAATTTCCCAAGTCTGAAGCRTTACCTCAGCCTTATTAACATAGATCAGTTATGCGGCAGCACATCTTAAGCTTAACAGCAAATGTCATTTTGCTCCCCTAACAGTAGCTAACTTGTACGACTATAATATTTTATTGACCTTTTTTCTACTCACTTTTTGAATATTGTAGTCGGACAGTGTGCGCCCATCCTCTAACTGCTTACCAGCAAAAATGAGTCGCTGCTGATCAGGAGGAATCCCTAATAATGACACAAATCACGATTAAGACATGAAGTGGGCCGGGCCATCCTATCTTCATAAAAAATACACCACTCAAACGCAGGGGGAAAAAAACAGGCGCTTGGAACTTACCTTCCTTATCCTGGATCTTGGCCTTCACATTTTCTATAGTATCAGAAGACTCGACCTATTATAAAATAAAACGATAATGAGAAAGAGTAGGGGGGGGAAAAAAAAAAAGACACGCGGTTAGTGCAAATGCGGATGCAGTGCAAAAAAGCGAGTGCAACCTGCAGCATACACTACCTCCCTAGTTCAATGCAAATCGATGTCCACTCCATATACCGGTATTTAAAAGCCCCAGTGTCCGCATCTGCACAGCCGTTTAACCGGGCACCGGCCCACTCAGCAGCCGCGAAGAGCGAGGGAACCCCGAGAAAMGGCCGCAGCGGCCCCGGCGCGGCCGCGGCCCTCCCCCGCGCCTCACCTCGAGGGTGATGGTCTTCCCCGTGAGGGTCTTCACGAAGATCTGCATGGCGGGGCGGCGGGCCCGGGCACCACGCGCCGCAGCGGAGCGAGGCCTGCGCAGCGACCTGCTCGCGGAATGGCGGCTCTGCGAAAGGGCGCCGCGCCGGCCCGCACGGGGTTTCCACCCTCGGCGCGCGAGGGGCGCGGCGCCGCCGCGCGACTACGGCTCCCGGCGTGCCCCGCCGCCGCGCGCCGCGCTGCGGCCTGCTGGGAGCTGTAGTTCCCGCCCCCGTCCCCGCACGGCATCACGGGAGTCGTAGTCGGAAGGCGGGCAGGCGAGGCCGGGGGAACTGCGCTGCCCACAATGCACCGGGGCGGCGGCGCGCGCCCCGCCCCGCCCCGCCCCGCCCCGCGCGGCCGTTGTAAGGGCGTGGGCGGGCGGTGTCGCTCCCGTGTTCTCCCTCATCTCCTATACGTTGACGTATATGCGCGCACGTAGGCACGTACCTCTGCGTGCAGCTGCGTGTAGGGTAGCTGCGTGCGTGGGTGGGAAATCCCGCGAGCTGGGCACGGCTTAACGGCCCGGGCCGGCTGTGTAGGGCGGGCTTCCAGAGGAAGGCCTTTGGTTTATTTGTTTATTTAGGAGTAAATACCTTTAGAGTGGAGGAGGCTGTGGGTAGCTTAGCACAGCACTGAGCTTTACATCAACTTGGAAATAGTTTATTAGATATTTTCTTGCTTATGAGTTGACTATATCAGAGAAAGGCCTAAAGCAGCATGGGTAAAGACTGTCGCTGGAACCCGCGAGCCCGAGCTCGTGTCACTGCCCCGTTTCAGCGTTTCTAGGTCTGTCCTGGGGAAGCTGCTGCCTGCCCGGGAAGGCCCCAGGCAGCCATGGGGAGCCCGGGAAGGCCCATGGCAGCCATGGGGAGCCCGGGAAGGCCCATGGCAGCCATGGGGAGCCCAGGAACGCCTCAGGCAGCCATGGGGAGCCCAGGAACGCCTCAGGCAGCCATGGGGAGCCACGGCGCAGGGGCCGAGCGGCGCCTTCTCCTGCCTCCCATCGCCTTGGAGAAAGACAGGAGGTTCCTGGAGAGCGTACAGAGATACATAGTGAGCGAGATGGAGAAAGTGGGTTGTGCGGAGCGAGGGCCGCCTGAGGAGTGCTACGTTATATACAGAAACGCGTTTGACAAGGTAACCACGTGCCCCAGGTAAACGAGCAACGGGCAAGGCTGACAAGTGAAGGGTGCATTGGGATGAGAAGCTGYTGAACTTGGCTTGCCCATCCTGCAGGCAGAATGCTTCTTTCTCTTCTGGAAAGAAAGCTGCACTCCCTGTTCTAATAGTAACTGCCCTCTGACAAGGGTAAAAGGCTGTTGGTGAAACTCTGKAAGAACTGCTGCCCTCGCCTCTCTGGTTCTCTGCCTTTTTCAGCCACAGAGATGGGAGATGCCAAGGAGAGACGCAGAACTAAAAGCAGTGGTGGTGATGAGGGAAGTTCCTGCACAGCTAATATTCCAGATGGCTAGGAGTGGGGCTGTGCTTTTAAATGTTGAGTTGATTGTTAATTTACGCCAGTACGGCACTTGCCCCTTTGGTTTTCCACGCCTGTACGTGTCGTGGAGAGTTAGTGCCTGTTTGGATAAAGTGTCTTCTGGTGCATGGAAATGGTACCTGCAGCTGTCTAAAGAGATGATGTTTGCCTCAGTTTTATTAACATACATGGTTAATGAATCTAGAGGCAACTTGGAGCCTGCCCTTCACCATGTAAAGCTTTTCTATGCATTTATCAGTGTAAACAGTATTATTTGTTCTGGGGTCTTATTTTATTATTAGAACAGCACGATGATGCTTGATCTAAGAAGTACTGTTTTTTTTTGTTTTTTTTTTTTTCCTGCTAGTTAATTTACTCTATGTCTGTCATGCTGTCTGGAAAATTCTAGAAATCTCTTTTTTTTTTTCCTGTTAATTATCTCAGTATATCTGTGTGCGTTTACAGATAATAGAGTACGTTACTGCATACAAGAATGTCCTGATTTCAATCAAGCAGGAATATGAGGCATTTATTGCCACAGTCAAGAAGGGCCAAAACAGCGCGTTTTTCCTTCATGGAAGATTAAAAGTTCTAGCCTCGGAGCCTACAACTCTGCTGTACTACAGGAAAAGAGCAATGGAGTTGGAAGACAAGTAAGTTATCTCTGATAGCGTCTAGAGCAAAAAGTATTGTTTTGTTATATAGCTGTATTTTGTGATGAGCTTCTCAAAAGAGACAGTAACTTTGCCATGTGTAGTTTCAAACAGAATAATGTTGCCAAGTAGAGGATAGGCCTTACGGAGATCTGTAGGATGGGCAAGCCAAGTTCAACAGCTTGCCCCAATGTTCTTGCAGCCTGATGTGTAACAAGGGAAGATGAAAAAAAAATCACCAGAAACTGTTTCCTTTTTCAGGATAAATGCTATTGAGAAGAGTTCTGCAAAAATTCAGAATCTGATCCTGAGAATAAAAAGTGTAAAAAAGGTACCACCTAAAGATACACGAGGGAAAGCAATGAATTCTGCCAAGCCCATCCCAGGTAAATCTCATATCTTGAGAGTCTTAGAGGAGGAGTGGATGGAAAATATGCTGCTCCTTTGAAATAAGGACCTCCAGGAAAGATTCAGAGAGTTACAGATCTGTAAAAGTAAGATCCATATTAGACAAACGAAATAAAATGTGAAGAAATACAGAGTAAGTAGGTGCCCAGATAAATACAGTGTGTTCACAAAGGGTGAACATGATCTTTGTTGAGGGAAGTTCTGCTTTGCTGATCTGTAAGAGTCCTTTCAAAAGATTCCCATCTTCTGGGACTTCCGTAATCCAGTCTTCTGGAGTTTTCAAAAGGCTTCAGGAATGTCTTTGAAGGAAATTARACAGCCATAGGATAAGAGAGAAGGTCTTTGCCTGGATAAGTAAATATCTAAAAGATAAGAAATGGGGAGTATGAGTAAGAGGTTATGTTTTGTAATGGAGTCAGGRGATCTATACTGAGGTCCTTGGGGTGGCAAGGATGAAGAAATGCAGGAGAACCTCATGAGCACATCAGCTCAGCACTCAGCAGCAGCCAGAGAAGCTGATGAGACAAAAGGGATTGTTAGGAAACAAGGGGAGGACCAAATACAGAGGTCTAATGATGTTCTCTGTCTCTTGCTTCTTGCAGCTGAGGTGTCCAAAGGGATATGGTCGGATTGTAGTTCAAAAGAAGGGCCTGGAAGAGACTCGGAGCAGTCGRAAGCTTTTGAAAGGCGTTTTCTTTCCCCGCAGGTCTCAGTTTAGAGGAATCGCTCAACTTGGATTCTCTTTCTAAATACCTCACTCAGCTAGACAGAAGGGTGGTAGAATTGAAAAAAGAAAGGGAAATAAAATATGTCCCTTGGAAGAAAAAGATTGAATTAGAACAAGAGCTCTTGCACTTACTGACCTTACGAGACATGGCTGAAGAAAAGAGAGAAAAGCTGAAACTCAGGTACAGGTGCTTTTGTGCAATATATTCCTATTTTTACTTTAGATGTGTTCTCAAGGTTTTTTACCTCGTGCATTAAACTGAGTTCATGAATCGATTTTTAATATAGATATCCCTAATACTGTTATATAACTTGATGGATAGGATGGATGGAATGGAATACATCCTGTACTGTTCGCATACATACTTGTTTTCCTCTTTAATTATCCATAGATATACCAGAATTTTGTTAGTTTCAAATGTTATTTCTGCCTGTGCAAAATCAGCCAAGACTGTCACCTTGCAACATCTGCTCTCTCAGATCATGGAAAATAAAAAAGATGAAAGAGGTAAAATCTTTAAAAATCGAATGACAGTGTTATTAGAAATGAGAATGAGTCTCTTTAGTAATCAGCTGTATGGAATATTACATACATGGGTTTATTTCTGYCTCTGGCAACTTGCAGGACACCAGGGGTAAATTGTCTTAAGTTTCAAATGATGTGTTGAAAGGTGTGTCCTAAACAAACATCCTCTTAGGGAGATTATTTCTTAAAAATGCTTTAAAGTACTTGAAAGTGCCCTCCATTCAAACTGTGTCTTATATATTGTAAAAGATATGTATATAAATTATATAMATCTCCTGCATCCTTCCCTTCTCCTCTTTATGTTTGGTAGTGACTTCAGCTCTGATAACCACGTTATTACCTCAACAAGCTAATCCTACTGTGTTTTCTGTTTCAGCTATTGACGTCCTTAGCAAAGTGGCTGAAGATTTGCTTGAATACTTTGACAGGTAAAAAGAACATGATTGCATACCACTCTCTATTAGCAATTTACAACATTGCAGTTAATGTACTGTATTGAATGCAGTCATTCCAGGGCACACCAGGCTTTTCTGCTTTTTGTGACCCTTTTTAYAGAGGGTACTTGGAGTAAAATCCAGGAAATCCAGAGAGAAGGTCTGGCTGTTGGGTGATACAGGCAATATTGACATACCCAGAGTGATGACATCTAATGGCTGTTATCACTACTATTTGTGCCTCCTGTTTTACTTTTCTGTCCTCAGCCAACATCACTTCTTTCACCATCATCCATTTCTTTTCTCCTTCTAAATCCCTTYTGTGGCTCGCTCTCTGGTAAGACTTTACCATTGATAACTCCCTTCCAGTTCTCACTGTGGAAGCCATCCAAAGTGCTCCTAGGCAGTGAGAGAGAAGGAAGGTAACCAGATGTGTGGGGAACAAGCTACTTGCTACTTCTTAAAGGGCTTTAAATAGGTACATTTGAATCTGGTACATCTTTATTGTAGCATTCTGCAACATTTTTAGTCTTTGAGCTTCTTAACTAGATCACTATCCATCCCATCAGCCAAYCTTTTTACATATGGAAATAAATATATATACGTATGTGTGTATATATATTTACTTTTGATTTATTTCTGTAATCAATCATCTTCCTTATTTTTTAATTTGTTCTAGGTTCAGTGAATTACTTCCAAGTGTTGAGTATGATCCCAAAGCGGTTTCTGCAGCAAACTCCTCTAGAGGAATTCTCCTTAATGAAGAAACTCTGAAGAAACTTGAATGTGGGAATTGCTGCTGGGAATGCTAATGGGAAATATGTAGCTGGGTTCCTTATTAGAGGAATTTAGTTGGTATCAATGTAGTCATTCCAGTGGCTAGGAATTTGTTCCTTCTTTAGTAAATGAGAATTGTTTGTGTGGGCTTGAGATTTACACTTGACATTTTAACTGAAGATAAGTAAAGCTGTGGGGCTGTCCTTTCTCTTAGGGAATGTCCTTAACATTTGACCAAGAGATGCARAGCAGGGAAGAGTGAGCTCCCAACCATGACTTTTCTGGCTCTTGCTGTGGTACTGGGGCAGGTGATGGGTCAAGGGCAAGACTGGAATGTAAACACTAGAGTGCAGCTTTCAGAACTAATTTGGCTGATGAAAATATGACCAGCTATGAGACTTCCTTATGGGACAGTCAGAACCTTTTCAATCCTTTCAGGGCGGGTCTGGGGCTTGCAGAAGTATAAATTTCTGTTACCCTCTCTGTGTAGCGCAGGTCAGATGCAATCAGTATAAAGTTGTTTCTGCAGTTGTTCTAAAACCTGTTCTATTTCTGCTGATAAAACATGCACTTATAACAAGGACAAAAGTGCACCTGCTATTTTGAAATTCCAGTCCTTACTGTCCTCTATGTAAACACAGCCTCTTAGGACAGCCTAACTTCTTGAGTCATAAAGCAGTGTTAACTTCATTGATTTTAATGAAGCTAATTTAATTTTAGTTTCTGAAATTATATCTATTTTAGGTCTATAAATAATCAAGGTTTTTAAGTGTTCCTGATAAATGCAAAGTCATCTTTTATTAGTTTTGTTCTTCTGTCAATGTTTTAGGTTGCATTTGGAAACATAAACTTCAGTAATATTGGTGATGACAGATGCTGAAGCAGCTGAATATTTGTCCTGCTTCTGGAATGAGCCATAGGGGCACTGCTAAACTTTGCAAGATAAACATTTTCTTTCTGTGCATGTTCTGTTGGCTTTTATTCAAGCTTAAAGGCAATAACAGAGAAGTGTTGTGATAAGCTAATATTTCAAATCTGAATTACAAGTCAAATTATGAATCTATAGCAAGTTGTGATCTGTCAAAAATGCACTTATGTGCTTAGTTTCAAGGAAGCTAAATGAGAGTCTTAGTGATTYCTGTGTTGCCTATAACTTACACTATTGTAACCTTAAAAGCATGCACATTACATTTTTGTAGGTTTGGAGCATTACGTTGTAAATGCTTTGGATCACAACTTGTATCTCTGTAGAATGGGATGTGACTCTACTTTGCACAGTTGCAATAGAAATTGTAGCAATAAAATGGCAAAAACAAGGGCACTCTCAGTTAAACTCATCCTTATTGAACTGACGTTAGTAATAAATGACAAAATAGAGCTGACATTATTTTCAGTTTGTTTACAGAGAGCTTTTGTAACCTTTACAGGAGGTATTTTATTTCCAAAGAAAGAGGTAGTTGGGCCATCCCAGTATAATTCTCTATATTCTCACTAGGAAAAAAAAAAGTTTTAATTTTTTTTTTCCCTTCAAACATTTTTCTTAAATCTCTCTGTGTGCACAGAGATGCACACAGCTCTGGGATTTTCCCATTACCTGTCAATGGTAGTGTTGTCATGAGCCCTCTGCCTTGTTTGGAACAATCTTAATTTGAAGTGATTAACATAGCTCCTGAGATGACTCAGCCTCACAACAGAATATTCTCAAAAGTTTTAGTGGATATTTGCAAACAAAGATTAAAACTTAAGAAGTCTTAAATGATGGAAGTTACTTTTTTCTTTAGTGAATGACTTTTGTCTTTATCTCTCTAGCTATTGGTTGTCTTCAAGAAAGAAATAATCTTTTAATGAAGTATTTTGAGACTCTCATAAACTCAAGCAGTGCAGCTGGATTGCCCCAGATTTCAGCCTTGACTCTGGATGCAGTCAAATATGCATTGGCTGAAAAACAATTAAATATAGTTATGCACTGGGTCACCCAGCAAAGGTAGGTGGCCTTTCAGCACTGATAGGAAGGAGCGGGTTACRCCCCTCCTCCCCAGGTCATGAGGCTTTCTTTGCCTTTTCTCCCTTTAAATTAAAATCCCTCAAATCAAACCCAACCAGAAATATGTTAATGATTTTCTCTCCCATGTGCAGCCGCTGTTAAGTCTTGAAGGCACTATAAACATAGGCTAAATGAGCAATACCAAAAACATCCTCTGCAGAATATATGCTGTTTTGGTCACTGTCAGTTTTTGTTACAGTATTGCAGGCTCTGATTTTCTTTAAGCTTCTCTTATCTTGTGTTGCATTTAAGAACTATACAGAGAGAAGATTTTCACATTGTTCTGTGAGTGAAAAAAATTGCAATTGGTGGAAGACTTAATTTTTTCATTGACCGTTGCTGTCAATACTAAATCCACAGTTCTGAACACCGTTCAAAGTTGAAAACATATTTAATGAAAACATATTCAATCTGTAAAAAAAAAAAAACCCTATACCAACCCTTGACCTATATACCTCATCTACAAGAACAGCGATACAATTACACTTGAACTTTTAGAACTGATTCTCTTTCTAGAGTTTTGTTTTTGAAGAAGCTGTCAGAGATGACATTTTTCTAATACAGCATTGTATTTGCTTGAAATGGTGAAAATCCCACCCAAACAGTCTGGTTTGACTTAGCTGTAATTGTTCCCCTTCTGCTGAAAACCCTCTGAAAAGAGCAYCAGTATTCCCAACAGTTAGCCCGTATTTTGTTTCTGAATTTGGATTCTAAACCTTCTTTCATGAGGATCAAAATAGCACCTGTGTTTCTGTCCTAACCCATAAGCAGTCCAACTCCTGTGAATGCCATTACAGCGTAGTTCCTCAGCATGCTGAACTCATCATCCTTCTTAAGTTACTTCATCACACTGAAACATATTATTAAATGAATTGTTAGCAAGGAGCAGCTTCATTCTTTTGAGTTTCCTGTCTCCAGCAACATTGAAGGCTGCAGATGTTCCTCCTGCCTGCAGGGGACCAGCACTGAGCTTGGCACTAAAGGAAATGTCCCATCCTGGTCTGCTGCSTTCCCTGCGCTCACAGCTCTCGCTGTTGCAGTTGGGAATTCGAAAAGGGGAAGGAAGAGGCTACTCTCTCAGGAACAGAGTTGGGGCAGAAAGATGGACAGAAGTGCAGAAGAGCTGAAGAGATAATAACATACTAGTAATACTGGTTTATTTTATTACCTTGTCTTCTCCAGGTTGGTGTTTTCTGAGGCACTAGGCGATGTGCTGTATGACCATGGGAAGGTGGACCCGAGCAACTTGTCAAAATGCCTGGCCTTGGCTCAGATTGTGTATGAGCAGTCTGGTGCACACAAGAAGGTCGCTCTGTGCCTCTATAAGCAGGGCCAAATTTATACAGCAGTGGACTATATTCGGCAACTCGAGCACTTTTCTTTAGGTAAATACTAAGGCGTTTGTAATGTCTTTCGTGATTGTTCCGCCATGTGTTTATTTCAGGTTTAACAGTGACCGGGCTTACATAGAGGGCATTTGGAGCAAATACAGATATCCAACCTCCTTGTCATTACKTTTAACAAGCTCACTAAAATATCGCTCTGTATTTTATCATGCTGTCAACTGAGGAATGTTTTTAAGCATAGAAGTTGTATAGCACGTGTGAAATAAAGACTTTCTCCTGATGGGTATGCTTGGAAATCTCCATGATTTGCTAAGRACCCCAGGAGGAAGCAGCAGCTTGTAGGAGTACTCAGATCTACTGTYCCAAAACCAAAGGTTAATGTGGCCCTCTCTAACATGATTGAACTCATTACTTAAGYCATTGCTAGAAGGGAAAAGAAGCACTTCAGTGTGTCAAAATGAGCTCTTCAGATATTATATTACTGCAAAGTCTGCAGATACTGATAATATTGCATTAGTCTTTCATAAGTTCAGATAACTAAATAAAGTCAAGAGATTGCAGAAAGAGAGCTCAGGGAAGATGACAGTAAAGCAGATTGTAACATTTGAACCCTTCTAGGAATTTTGAGCCTTTGTTTCCACATGGTTTCTCAACCAAGTAGCATAAAAATTGACAAATGGCATTGGATATGAAAGTAGTCCTTATTTTTCCATGTGATGTAACTTATGTCTCTGAAATACAATAAGATACCCATTTGTTTTGACACCCATATATTGCAACTTTGGTTAGGGCCTTCAGAAGAATCRTGTTTGCTTGACCACATTTGTCCTAGCTGAGCTGTAGCAAGCCTGCAATTTCAAGACCATTGAAGAGATTAAGGAATGATGTTTATTTCTAAGGTTTCTATTTCCTAAGTTCTCTCCCTCTTGTGAGAAAGCATTAACTCGTGAACTTGGTCGGAATATTGGTCTGGGGCAATCCTGGGAAGAAGGAACTTGACCTTTTATTGGCCTGGGATGCGCTGTCTCTGCATAAGCAGCCTAACTGGAAAAACGAAACAATATCTTTTTTTTTCCTGCTGGCTGCATTGCAGTTTGTTCTCTCATCAGTTTTGCCCTGTGTTCATTTCTATATTCTGTTCTAATTGCGTGCCTTCTGACTATATCTTTTTCTMTATATATTCTTGCCTAGATGATAGTTCAATTAATTTATAGTTTTCTATTTGTTTATTTCCTGACCTTTTTTGTGTTTAGTTCTTTTCTAGTGTTTATTAATTTTSTTACTTTGTGAGATTTCTAAAATACTTTCTTCTTTAATCAATTAAAGAAGCTTAGATTTTAATTTTGCACCAGCTCTTCTGCTGTGTTTGGGGACAACAGAGTACAGATTGTTTGCTTCCTTTATAGTGAAGAAGCCGAGAGGTGACTATATACAAATATGTAATAATCCTGGTGTCTTATTTTTAGATGATTACTTATTTCTACTGGAAAACTGTACTGCCACTGAATTAACTTATCACCTGAGTGAAGAGTGGTTTAGAAACCCACCACTGTCATCCCTGGGGTCTACAGTGCTAGCTCTTCTTTCAGCTGATCATGGAAAGCATGGCTTCCAGCTGCTGGAGGAAATGAGCAAGAAAAGTAAGCACAGCACTACCTGAATTGCAAGCTTTTATTGCCGCRTTTTTTAAAAATATCATAGTTCTCACCTCGATTGGGAAATAACAAAACATCTTTGTATCAAGTGACAAAAAATACATAAGGAGAGATGATAATCATTTCCTGGGTTAGAAATTTTAATCCAAATCCAAGTTAAGCCTATGCATTACTTTTGATGTGGTGCTCCTGATCTATAGTGGAATTGGGAGGAAAGCTTTTTCTTCACTGTGAGACAGGTTTCATGTCCTGCATCTTTTGCAGTTCCCCCAGATACGGGGGTTACTTGCATTAAACATCAGGCCCCCTCCTGCTTGCTAAAGTCCTGCTTAATTGCCTTCAGTCCTCCTGAAAGTTCTTGTTAAGTCCTGCCTGYTAAGTCTTCATGAGAGGTTTGGGACTTGAATCTTTTTCATTATAAGAAATGCAGTTTTTCTTGCCGGTCTTTAATTTTTTTCCCTCTAAGTCTTTAATCTTAGGATTTAGTCTAGCTAGAAAAACAGTGATTTGTACACTGTACTTAATATGAATAGTAACAATGCTGTTCAGGCCAAAAGCTTGATATTTTTATGTTTGTTCTTTCTCAGATACGTTGGAGCAGATTATTCTAAATGATACAATCTGTACAGTAGAAGGTTGGAAGAAGATAGCAGACTCATGTGCAGAAAATAAACATGCAGAGTTATCTCAGCAAATCATCTCAATTATCACCTCGCAGGATGGAGTTTTTGAAASTTCGGCACTTGAAGATGAAAAAGATGCCGTGTTAATGGAGCATGTTTTCTGGTAGCCCTTTGCAACAACAGAGGGAGCTCTCACAGCAGTCAAGTGGAGAATCCTTTTAGCTCTTTGTATGAACCATAGTAAACATTAATGCTTCAGAAAAAAGGTGCTGAAAATAATTTGGCGATCGAATATTTTGTTCCTTTTCATATCTCTGTGTGTGTGTGTGTATGCATTTTGTTTAAGTGTGTTCTCAGTGTAGAGGAGAAGKGCTGTAACATGTTCTGGGATGGTCTGCTGAGGTCCTGCTGCACGTCTGCCTTCCCTCAGCCACCCCGTTCTCCTCTTCTGTGCATGCTCTCTGTCCTTAGCACAGTGCTGGAGGGACACACCGCTCCAGTTCTCAGCCTTGTGCAGTTGGGGAGCTCAGCCCGAGCGCAAGGGGCTATTCAGCTGTTCAGAGGCTGAATGTGCTCTGTAACAGCACATTAATTACTGGGTTTTGTCTAGTAAATAATGAGTGAAAGAAGGCAAAGGCCTTTGCCTGGTAGGTTAGCCGTACTGTTTGCCATGGAAGATGGAGATGAGCCCCTGATCTCAGATGTACTGTGTATATTGTGTAACTTGATTTACAGTGTAGAATAGCTCAGACTGTGGCCAAAAGGGTGAAAACGATGATTGAAAAGAAAGACCCCCGGTCTTGTGAAGCATAAGAGCTGGCAGCGTACAAGAACACAACTAACTGCAATTCTTCCCCGAGCGACTGCATCAATCTTGTTCAGCATTTGGAGCAACTGAAAAGATAAAACGGCCACCTTTTCCCTCTAGCTTTCTGTGCTCAGCATGTGGTTCGGAAGTACCTGCCAGCTTGTAGCCTGGCGGCAGAGCTCTGCTCCGGCTCGGGAATGYCGTGGGTGCTGGGAGGCAGCGGAGGCCCCTGAGTGGAAAACAAGGGGCTGGAGGTCTCMAGGTGGGGAGGGAGCAGGAAGGGGTTAGATGGCAGATGTGCACGTGGAAGGGTGTCTGCTCGGAGCACACGGTGGGAATGGGGCTGTTCTGCTGGTGTGKGGGAACGCGTTACGGTCCTTGGAAACTTGCGTGTGCTTTGGAGAAGGGTCACAAACGAAAAGTAAAATACCAACTTTATCGCCTTTTTCTGAGTGTTGGACGGCCTTGGAATTCCTTGAGGGTGAGGTTGGCACTGCTGCACTTTCCTGCTGGCGTCTGGCCTTGGAAAGTGCCAGCAGAGGTGTGTTTTTGTAGTGCTGGCCATGAGATGTTGCATTCCTCACTTATTTTGATCCCACAGTGACCAAGTGGCTCCCTCTTTTTATATTCACTATGTAAGGAGCAAAATAAGTAGCAGTAACTAGAAATCTGCTCATGTTGGCTTTAACTGGAGCGCGCAGGGCCTTGTTTCAGGCCTTTTCTTTGGCTGGTGCTGTGTGTGGGGTGGGTGGTTTTTTTTTTTTTTTTTTTTTTTTTTTCTCTTCTGAGTGTAGCCCTGAAGCAAGCAGGTTAATCTGGATTTTCCTATTTAAGCTATGCTAGGTATATGTAAGATGATTTCCTTCAAAACCAATAAGCAGTTTCATTGAGGCTTAGAAAAATGCTAATACAAAGCAATTTTGTTGCATTTATCCATTTATCCCCTTTCTAAGATGATCTTTTCTAGGAGTACTCCAGGGAGTGTCACTGAGAGACAGAGATAGGCACAAAGGCCGATGGCCTTTTGTGTGGTTTAGTGCTGCATCTCCGGCGTGCGGGAGTGGTAGGGCCCAGTCCATCGCTGCCACAGGGTTAATGACATTAGCATGGAGACCTAATACGGTCAATGGGGTCTATTTTCATCCTGCTGTAATGCCACTGCAATCCATGAGTCACAGCAAGGGTGTTTGGCCTTCTGCCCTTGCCTCCTCTCGAGCCTCCCTGCCCTTTCGGAGCGCTGGCCGTGCAGCCGCGCGCTCTGCATCGCTGCCCAAGGCCGTGGTCAGAAACAGCCTTTGAAGAGACATCGGTGACTTCACCTGGCCCCGGACCTGGGMGTTCCCAAGCACGGTTATTTGTATCCTAGGTGAGTTACGTTGTTTYGGCAGGTGGTTTTGAAGCTTCCAGATACATTAAGAACCCCTTAGTTTTAATCCAAATGGATGGATGAAATCTACTGTCTATTCACAGGACTCCAGACTTCATTAATTGAAGCTTCCCACTGAATTCAGCAGGATGTCGATGCCTGACTGGTGTGTTCTGCTCCAGTGATACTCACCCTGCTTGTTCTTCTGGATAGCTTGGAGTGCAAGTAAGTGTTTCTTGAGTGAGGATTATGAAACAGAACAAACAAAAATGATTTAATATTTTTCTGAGCTTTTGTAGTCAGGTTCAGTCAAGCTTGAACTCCAGTTGTTTACAATTCAATGCTCAACAGAAATAAACATAGTCCAAAAACTAAATAAAAGAAATGCTATAAATACAGTGTAGGAGACAGACTTAGCAAGCATGCAGCTGCTGAAGACAGATTTGATAAACTGGAATAAGTTCATTTGAATGAAACTTGCATTGGTATGAAATGTAAAAGATCAAATCACTTTTAAGTACTCACCGTTAACCTTTGATGTCACTGGGATCTCTGTCTTTCCATGCCAGAAGTTTAAATGAAATAACATCAAGCAAACAAGCAAGCAGACTGAACTGCCTGAGCAGCTACAGTCACTTAGGCCTGCAGTCCTTTTCTTTTTTCTTTTTTTTTTTTTTCTTTTCTGGACAAGACTGTTCCTGAGCTCTCTAAAGCATCAATGCAGAATGCTCCATGTTCAAAGCAATACTTAGCTCAAAGGCAGGAACAAATGCATAGTTGACCCTCCTGTAATGAGCAGGGCAACAAGTGCTCAGTTCGATCCTTCTCATAAGCCACCTTGGGCGGGGAGGCAACCACCAGTGTTCCTGTGCTATAGGAAGACAAAATGTTGTTAGCAGAATGCCATTTTCTAAAAGGACTTTTTTAAAACTTTTTTTTTTCTTCATAAAACAATGTTAGAAAAGAAACCTCTGCTGCATATATTGAAATGATTTTTGTTGTGTGTATATATATATATATATATATATATATATATATACACACACACACACACACACACACACACACACCCCAGTAGCACTGAAAGGCACCACTTATTACTTCAGTCTCATTTTTTCAGATATTGTGTAAATCCCCAGAGACAGACAGTTGTGCTGAAAAACAAAGCAAAGCACTAACAGTCAGACATATCTGGACGTATCTGGAAAGGTCGTTGCTAGATGCTTTGATTCTGGTTACTTTYCTGAATTCTAAAAGACATAACAGAAGGATCAAGAGAAAAAGACATCATAATCAGCTGAAACCTCTTCAGGGGAACATTTYGATTTTGAGATTAATTRCCAGGTCCTTTGTACTTTTAAGTTSCRYTAGGACTGGAAMGRAAGTGTAGCAAAGGTGCCTGCTTGGTGAATGTGGATTTGTCTTGCAGATCAGCTAAGCTTCTRCTTGCCTGAGGCTCTTGAGCTTTAGGTTTTTTGTGCTTGAACAGATCTGTAGAGTGGCTGTGAATAGCCAACAGGTCTCTCTCCTCTGTCCTGAGCTGGAGGTGCTCAGGAGTTGTCATTCACAGCAAAGCGTGGAGRGGAACTGTAAGGACTGGCAGGAGAGAAGTTCCTCGGGGGCAGTGAAACAGGTGGAAGAAGGGGAGGGACAATACAGGTGTGTGCCTTGGAGAAGGTTTGCCAGGAGATCAAGCTTCCACGGGTGGCTTCAAACCACTTCTGTTAAGTTTCTAGTTTTAACATCTGGTGTTGCTTCCCTCCTTCCCTTTGGCTTTTGAAGGGGATGAGAAGAGTAAAGGAGATGTCTGGTGCTGGTTAGTGTCYGTGTCCTCCTGTATACTGGCAAAGCTCTTGAGGAGTCATTTAGGTTTCCTRGTAAACTTAGCATGAGCTGTCCGATCTAGGCAGACGCCAGCTCGGGTTTGGGCCGTAGCAGCAGCAAGGCTGTTGCAGCACAGGACCTGGGAGGGAGCCAGAACCTGGGGAGCACAAAGGGCAGCCGGTGCTGAACCCAACACGTCTGGTCTCCCTGGGCCTCGGCTGCACGGCTGCCTTCCCGGGCATCCTTGAGGGAGCGGSAGGACCCCTAGGAGCCCTTGCCAGTACCCAGAGGCTGCTGCTCCTGCTGCTCTTTGAGGGAGGGCAGTGGTGTGTGCTGCTCTTTGAGAGCAGCTCTGGCTGCGAGTTTGATTGCCAGCGATCATCACGTGTCTTTCTGAAGGCATTCTTCTTTATGAGCAAATAATTAAAAAAAATCAAAAACTTTTGCATTTCTGTTTTTACAGAGACATTTGCAGCCTGCCCCAGATAAAGAAGCATTGTATTTTTTAAGTCGCATTGCACTCGGTCCAAGTTTCTATTGACTCATAAATCTTACTTCTTAAGTACTATGAATTATATTATTGGGGTCAACCTGCTTATTTTAGTCATTTTTGGATTGTTCTGATATGAATTCTTACAATGGTGTCTACAAAAAGCTTGGTCACAACTGTATGGTTGCTATTTATCATGGTGACCAATATTACCTCTTTGTTTCCTTTGCAGTTTCCATATGTTGTGTCTTATCTTAGACTGCATATTCTTTGGAGCACTGACTGTCTTTTCCTTCTATGTATAGGACCATGTATTTAAAGTTTTGTTCCCCAGTGGGGCTCCTGCACAGCATGGGAACAGAGATCAGAACCTGCTCGTGTACGTTACATTCTCCATTCCAGGAGGCAGAGAGAGCAGGGCGGATAGAAAGCAGGCAAGTTACATTGCTGGGGCTGGGTCATGTAGCCCAAAGGCTACTGCCATGTGCTGGTGGAAGAGCTTTTGCCACAGCCTCGGAACTGAAGCCCATTCGTGCTTTAACACTGCAAAATACATCTCATCTCTTTATGGGAAGTCTACCTCTTTGAAGAGGTTAGTTGGGTAATTTCTTCCTGTGTCAGTCCCAGCAGAGAGAATACTTTGGATGAGAAGTAGAGTTTAGTATCTGTAAGAGGAGTAAATGGATGTCATTAGGTTAGGGTATGTAGTTGTAAGGTAAATGGAAAGGTGGCAAAAGGGAAGAGAAGTTGAAGTTATTTGGAAAGCAGTATAGAGAAACTCTGTGATGAAAGTTCTAGAGGAAGAACATGAGACGAGGGCTGGCCAGAGGGTTGGTGATTCTGTACTTGGAAGCAAAGCCCCTTCTTCTAATTGCTGTTTGATGTTCTATGACAGAGTGTCTGAGATACTGTATTAGATCAAGAGCTGCAGTTTTCTGCAGTGAATGTCGGAGATTATTCCATAAAAAGTAACTTTCATATAATCAGATATGTAAGTAGTCACTTTCATTTTGTTTTCCTGCAGATGGGTGGCTGAAGAAGAGAAGGAGAAGAGAGAGACCATGTGTTGAATGTAAGGAGCAAAAAGGTGGCTGCACTGAAAAGAAAATGCAGAAAGAGGAGRCCCAGATGGACGGAAAGGAGGAGGAGAGAGAAGGGGCAAGTTTATTATTTCCTARCTTTTGTATGTGAAAAATGAACTTTCATATGGGATATTTGAAATAGGATGTGACAGAAGACTAGAAAAGTAACTGCTAGCTTGCTGAGAATTTTATATGTGTACAAATGAGTGACGCACAATCACCATGCTGTGTCATGCACAGCTGAACCAGCATTGCTCTCCCCACATTTGTGGCAGGTCTGTATCTTTAATTAGATTCCCAGACAAGTAATGCTGCATGAATTTGAATCCCAACAGTTGTATTCAACACTGGGATTTGAAGTACAATCGGGAATTGGCAGCTGCTCGTGGAATATCTGAATAGCAAGGTTATATTCAGAATTTTCCTTCAGCCCCAAGTAGGGGCATAAATATTCTTATACCTAAGGATTTACACATCCCTCCTTAGCTGCACGTGTCTGAATCCACTTTCCATTGAGACACAGCGGTGGTTTTAATTATTCTTAGGGTTGATGCTTCTGAAAAAAATCATGTTTGACAGGATATTAATCCTTCAGTAGTGTAACAGCCCAGCTATTAAAAATACTTCTAATTTCCTTTCAGTGAATAAACTTATTTGTCTTCATAGCTGTGGTTGTAGGAACATGGTTATATTTTTTATTAGTGAGTGTTTCCCAACTGTTTTGTGTCACTGGCAGAGCATTTTAGAGCTGAATTTCTTCCTCATTCCAAAGCTACTTGTGGCAGGAGTTCTGTTTATGAAGGAACAGCTTCTCATGTCTACTCATGTCTAAAATGGTCCTGAAAATTGCCTTCTTGATTCATAAATTTATAAATATAGWATCTATTTGTCACATATGAATAATGCCTTACTCCTTTTGAGCCTCATAGGAATTTCCAACTCTTACAAGTGCCAATTCTGTTGGGTTTGGGATGGGCGAGACCTGTACAAAGACCATTTTGTTGTCTTCAAAACGTATTGTGCTACTGTATATAAAAAGAGGGTATGGGAATGCGCATGAACTGAAATGTCACATACATGTGTTCCTGAGCGGCAACTGAATGGAGATTCCGAAGTTTTGAGTCCAGGTCTTGGCACATAAAGCTTTGTGCTGCTGTTAAGAAGGTGAGTCACCATCTCCAGTGCTGGTTCAAGGGCCTCCAACTCGGACACAGAGTCAGGACTGACGCTTTGCGGCTTAGGATCATCTGCCGTCTAAATACGCTGGACACGTGATAGATTAATAATAGCAGTATWAGTAGGCACAGTACATTGTGGTATTTGATAGTCTGACTAAAGATCCTGTTCAACTGCTGCAATAACTTGTTGTTTTTAGGAAACTTCAGGCTATTGCTTAGCAGTCCCTGGCTGCGAGGTTCACTGCAGCAATGGTGTAAGGCAATCCTAACCAGTAGCTGTTATTTGAAGAACATGCTTGGGAATTACCACGCAAAAATCGAGGCCTTCAGTGCTGGAGATGTGAGCTGAGCATCCATAAATGCCTCTTTTTGGATGTAAAACATGAATGAAGTGTCGGCAGGTGGCGCCCAAGAATGTCAAGTGTGGGGCTGGGGACGGGGCTTCCTTTGCTCTGGTGTATTGTCTACCTGAGTATTGTCTTACATGCAGCTCTTAAAGCTCAGCCTGGAAGGTCTTCCCTGAGGTGATTTATAAGCCAGCACGTAGCACACTGAGCTGAGAGTCGCCCATTGCTGTGGGTGAGAACTGTCACCCCCTGGAGATGGTTTGTTGGAAGAAGCAGCTTTGCAGCGTTAGTGACAGGGGAGGAGAGGCACTGCAGTATTGCCGAAGGTAATGCCCATGGCAGGAGGAAAAAAATCCCTTGTTCCTGATATGGCTTCACTTCAGAAGCAGGGGCCTACCTGAAACAAACGTGTATGGCAAATAAAACCTTGCAGAAGGCCGTTTAACTGCGAGCAAATAGCTGCTGGGGAGGGTAGAAGGCAAGCCGGGAATGAATCTCCGTGTTTAGTCGCACTGGGTGAACATGCTCAGCCATCTTCTTACTCTCCTGAATGCTGGAGAGAGAAAAAACAAGAGGTGCCTCGAAGTGGGAGCTCTCCTCTCTCATTCTCCTCTCTCAGGTGCAACATACACAAGGATAAAAAAATGGATCAGATGGGCATTCCTGGGGGAGCAGGGAGCTGGGAATAGTGCTCTGCCCTGCTAATTGTGAAGGACGCTGCAAAACTGCCTCATCTCTCTGTTTCCCTAAAACGACAGTATTTGTGGTTTTAGGGACAAAACCACAGCTTTTGAAAGCCAGCATAATGATAATGATYGACAGCTTTCTTTTTCTTGTTCCTTTTCCCCCCTGCTTTTTCAGCTGTTTCAGAATACACAATGTGTCTTCACAGTTCTATTCTTATGCTCTTTCTCTGATGCATCCTGTGTGCCTTAAAGTGTCAGCAGGACTGGAAATAGAAATGTGGGCACATAGATTAATACTAAATGAATTCTAACTTTTTTTTTTTAAGCAATTACAACTTGTCAAGATACAAAAAATGACTTTTAAGCAGTTTATTTTCTAGGGCAGAGTCTTCTGCTTGATCATTTCAGAAATTTGTTGCTGAGTTTAGTGGTTAAACTGTCCACAGAGTGGGGCCATGACAGGTATTTACTTTGCATACGCATTTTTTTTTTTTTAACTATGGTATTTTTTTTAAATTATGGGTGCAGAGGATAGTCACAGCATGTAATTATTGTGTGTTAATTAGCATCCTGAAGATGCATTGAATTAAGCTTTTAATAGCAGCAGAATAAGATATTCCTGTAAAATGTATTTATTTGTCAAATAGGGCTGCAGTGTAACTAGAAAGGAACAGACTGGCAGCGTGCACTGCCCAGCCCATGTGCTTTGGTGGGGAAAGGTAAGAGCATTAGTAACAAAGGGCAAAATGTCAATGTCCAAATTGACATTTGGACAATTCGAGCAGTCGAATCTCTTCTCCCTGTCTCCTGCCAAGCAGCCTATTAAACCTTTTAGCTGCCTGTGGCATTAGGAGATGATCCCCTTTATGCCAACAGCTTTACTGTGGCAGAGCAGCACGTGCTGTAGATGGATTCTTGCATGATACATGGAACACATATTGCTTAAAATATGTTGTCCTCAATGTATTGTAGTATTCAAAATACTATCTATGTGTATAGATATGTGCAGTATCTATACTTCACTACTGATGTGCAGTATGAATCCAGCATCACCGTTCTACTGAAGCCCGGTGTTGGAATGAAAGTAAAATATTGGTATATATAATTTCAGTTGTTTTATGGCCTATATGAAGCAGTATTGGCAGAATACTACTATGCTTTATTTACACATGCTTCTTTTTATTTCTTTCTGATAAAATAAGGTTTTCCTTTGTCAGGGCTTTCTAGTCATGAGATGCTAAAGAGGCAGGACTAGAGATTTCAGCTAATAGAAGATTTTGCCCCCAGATGAGCTACAGCTTGGTCCCCATATGTCGTTGCATGGAGCAACACGTGGTCTTCTCCCGCCCTCACTAGGGAAGCACTGTTTGTGCGTGAGAGCTGCTGTTGTCTCCAAGATGGATATATTGCATTGTCTCCAAGATGGATGTATTCATCTTTGCAAGTCTTTTGTACACAGCTTGTTACTGTTAGTACTTCCAGGCTTTGATTCGAAGGAGAATGAACTGATTGTTACACTTTCAGTAAAAATTACACATCAAAAGAGAGAAGGTTCTGTGTTCCTTTAACTAGCATAATTTTTTAGGAAAAGAAGATACCCACATTCCTTTGGATTTGTTTATATCAAGCTGTGGTTACAGCTAGCAGTATATTTGCAGTGCCCTGCCCTTGGGTGTTTCTCCACTTGGCCCTTTGCTCCACGATAGGCACCACAATGCAGTCTTGCAATGCCTTTATTGTTGCCATAGAGTGTGTTTGTGTAACACACCTGCCTTGCTTTGGTTCTTCACTTGGAGAATGGTGCGTTCTGAATTCCCCTGTCACCYTGAAGGTTTCTTCACTGAGCTTTATTGAGAAGAAATTGCACAGCTCCTCCCTGAAGGCAGGAGGCATCCTGGCTGAAACCCTGACRTTTCCAGTTAGGTAACACACTGAGGGGCATACAGCAGAACAGCCCTCATCTGATATTCCAACATAAATGCTGACACAGTGTTTCAGTTAAAGAAAAATCTGCAGAATATTTAGAAACTAACAATTATATGCTAATGTTTCTAGACTAACATGTCTAGAAATTAGAATTAATGAGTTCTCTGCAGGTACATCTGTCACACATTTAGTAAGAGCAGGCACA